GCCTCACTTCTGACCTCCCCCTCCTCCCCACATGCCCAAGTTTACTGCTGGCAGGAACCATTAGAAAATGTGTGCATTGGGCTGCAGGCTATGTGTAAAGACTGGATGCTTCTGTAATGCTATTGTAGAGCTCGAATGAGGAACCTCCTTCTCTGCAGAAGCTTTGATTTCCTGCAGACTTTTTAGACTGTGGTGAAACAGGTCTTTGTGCAGTGAGAGCTTTCATTTTATAATGTATCTGAAGTTTGTGACATTTGTGGAAGCAAACGAAGCTGTAGGTTACACCAACAGCCTGAACAGGCTCGATTGTTTGGTGAAAAGCTTTTTTTTAACTAAAAAGAATGAGCTTCTTCGAAACAGCAGGCTCAATTTCATTCAGTATAAAATGTACATCGCAGCAGGAATGCAATTCCTGCAAGACAAATCCAGGGATCTATTATGTTGGTCCAAATTATAGAGTGTGCCATTCCAACCTTAAGCTGAAATTCTTTCCACCCTGCTAGTTCCATTGTGTTGTTCCTCTGTTGGCTTTTCATTTGTTTATATGTTAGGAAATTAATGCTGGACCTCAGGAAAAGAATGAATCAGGTTAATTGAGCCATAGGATAACAATCTAAAACTCTATAAATGGGGATATCGACTTGGGCGCTGGATAAGTTTTCAGAATATTTTATACTGGTGTCCTGATTTGAATCATTTTGTGACATCAGCCCCTCTGTGTTACAAGTGAATTTTAACTCAGTTCGGGCCTAGAAATTGTTTGAAAATAATCCCTGTACCAGAATGTGTAGTCTTAAATCGGGCCAACTCAATACTTGGGCTGAGTTCTTATTTAAATAAATGGCAAGCTGTGGATATATACTGCATACACAGAAAGTAAGGCCAAAGATGGCAAAAATGGTTTAATAAAAGACAGGAGACTGTAAGGCCCTGCATCTGAATGTATGAAGCATTAATAATAAAAGGGATGAATTGTTAGCACACATAGACATAAATGTGTGTGACCTGATAGGTATTACAGAAACATGATTGTAAGATGACCAAGGCTGAGACCTGAATATTGAAGGGTATTCAATATATTGGAACATGAGGAGAATAGGAAATGGTGGTGAGGTAGATCTACTAATTAAGCGTGTCATTAATTCAGTACTGAAAGGTGACCTAAATTTAAAATATCAAGATTTAGAATCAGCTTGAGTAGAGAAAAAAATTATCTTGTGGGAGTGGTTTATAGGTCTGCTAACAGTAGTTACACCATATGGCAGAGTGTACCAGGAGAAATAACTGGTGTATGTAAGAAATGTTCCACAATCACAGGAAACTTTAATCTACATGTCATTTGTGAGAATCAGATAGTTGGAGGTAAATGAGTTGGATAGTTGGAAAGTGAGTTCGTAAAGTGTTTTTGGAACATTATTAGAGCAGTTTGTTCCAAAGCCAACCAAGGAAAAGACCATTCCAGACCTGGTAATGGGCAATATGACAGGATTACTCATTAACCTCACTGTAAGGGAACATCTAGGTGACAGAGATCACAGCATATTGGAATTTCATGTTTAGTTTGAAACGGTGAAGTGTGTCCATAATTGATGGTTTAAACTTGAGGAAGGATAGTTATGAACTGAGAAACTAGGATAGTATAGTTGTAGTGCTGAGCTTTTAAGGAGATATGTGATAATGCTCATCAAAGATTCATCCCAGTGAGAAAGAAATACATTTTGAGGAGGATGCATCATCTGTGGCTCAAATGGATGTTAAAAATACTTAAAAGAAATACTCAACAAATCTGTAAAGTTTAGTGGTAGATCAGAGAATTAGACAGAATTTGGTAACCAACACAGAATGATTAAAAAGATAGCGAAGAGGCAGGAAGTAAAGAATGACAGAACACGAGCAAGTAATATAAAAACAGTTGGTAAGAATTTCTGCAAGTATTTGAATAGGGCAAAAATAACAAGAGCTAGTGATGGTCCTCTAGAGAGGGAAAGTCTGGGGAACTAAAAATGGAAAATAAAAAATTGGCAGAGGTTTTGAATCAATGTTTTGTGTCTGTTTTCATGGTAGAAGACTTAAACTTACTCCCAAGATATTGAAAATCAAGAGGTAAGGATGATGTTAAAATAATCATTATCATCAAGGGAAAGGTACTACAAATATTACTGTTCCCAAAGGCTACTAAGTTCCTAGGACTGGATAGCCTGTATCTGAGGGTCTTAAAGAAGTGGCAATACAGATAGTAGATGCATTGCTTATAATCTTTCAAATTTTTAGAGTTCAGAAAGGTTCCAATGGAATGAAAAATAGAAAATGTGACACCTTTCTTGAAGAAAGGTAAAAGCAAAAATGGAAAATGATAGAAAGTTAGTCTAACACCTGTCATAGGGAGGAATCTAGAATCCACATTTATTAGGTTATAGGAGGATCTATGAAAAATGATGATGTGAACAGGCAGAGGCAACATGAGTTTGTGAAAGGGAAATCTTGTTTACCTAATTTCACAGACAGGGAACAGTGGTAATTTAATTTTTTTTTTCCTTCACGTCTGCACATAAGCAGAGGTGTACTTTTAAAAATTTTCCTTCATTTCAGTTGAAATAGCTGTAGTGTGTTCCCCAAACATTCTGTGGAATCTATTCTTTACATGACTTGCAGCATTGATCTTCAGGATTTACAACAGAAGCATTTATGCATTCAAAATACAGGATAATTGTCAAGACACGCACAAGAAAGAAAGAAGAAAAGGGAAAGAGGTTACAAATAAGAACAACTTAAAAAAAATCAAAGATACAGACATTGATCCTTTTTTGTTTGTCCAGAAAGTCAGTCCCCAGTCAAGTTTCTTTACCCATTGGCTGAAATTGCAAAGTTCCTTTTAAAGTTGGTGAAAATGCAAGATGATGATGTTGGGATACAAAACCTGTTTCTAGAGATAACAGGAGTCTTTTGGTCTGGACCATTGAATGGCATGAAATGGAAAGGCAAGAGGAACTTAGTGAAATTACAATCACTCAGGAACAACATGAAGAAAACTTGATGGCGCTGCAAGCTGACAAGTCTCTGCATCTAAATGGACTTCATACTAGGCTCTTATAGGAAGTGATAGATATAGAAGCAAATGCATTGGGGTTAATTGGTGTCCTCTTGTCAGAGAGGCTAGAACTAAGGGATGTAGTTTAGGATTTGTAGTCTCCCTTGATGACAGCAATGAGAAAAAGTTTATTTTTCCTGCCACAATGTTTTAAGAATGTGGAATTCACTTCCCCAGAAGGTATTGGAGGGTAGGTTTTTAAGTTTATTCAAGGTTGAGTTAGATTTTTGATAGACAAAGGGAACAAGGATTATGGGGTGCAGGCAGGAAAATAGAGCTATGGCCACCGTCAGATCTTATTAAGTGGTAGAGTAGGCTTGAAGGCCAAAATAGTCTACTCCTGTTCCTAGGACCTGTGTTCACACTTGACTTCAGGCAACCAGGAAATCAATATTGAATTTTCAGCCCATTGCATTGCTGCATCTAGCCTCAGGTAAGCTCTGAAGGAAGGTCAGAGAGGTAGACAATCAGCAGTGTTACCTTGGTAAATATCATGATTTGTAAGTCTTATTACAGTAAAAGTTGCATTATCTGGCACAAAACAAGATCAAGTGGTGCCGGTAAATCAAAAATGTTGGTTAACCCATTTCAGCTTCCGCTAATGGTAGGAATCAATGGAAAACATGCCTTGTTGTTTACTGAAAGTTACAGAGACACAAAGTCCTTCCACCTTTAACTCTTTTCACTTATGCATTGAAAGAAAGTACTTTAATCATTAGCAAGTTCACCGACAATTCCTTGAGATACAGCAATATTGAAACTTGCCAGTGATATTGGAGATTCCGATTGATGATGCAGTTTGGTTGGTCGGGTGCTGGTTTACACAAATTTTACCATATTACAGTAAGTCTTGTTTAAAGTAATTATCTATCTTGACATAACATATCAGATTGTA